TAATTGGCATTTAATCGGGATTAGATTAGCATAAGACCCTAATCACCCTCCCTCTATGGTCTAACAGATAATCTTACCTCAAGGTGCTGTTGGACTCCTCAACCACGTGCACGCAAGATCTCTCTTCTCCAAAATACCAAAACTCACCTTCTTCTCGATAAACTTCTCAAGAACACTCCCAAAATTCTCAGTTTAGGGTTAGGGTTTGAGGAAGAAGGTGGCTGGTGATAATCTCACGTGAAATAGGGTAAAAAGAGCTTTAAAACGAATATATATAATTAGGGTAACAACTGGGTTCGGATACAATGCAAACCCAACCCGAAACTGAAACCTGGCATATCCAGGAATTCCCGATAGTCGACTACTAAGCATAGTAGTCGACTACTAAGTAATACACAGGTTTCTAAAATTTATACACAGTATTTTGGTAATAACTTTCTCATCTGATCTCAGAATGAGGTGATTAAAGATTTGTTGGAAAGATGTTGAAAAGACCTACAACGTTGGTCTTTTGAGTTTTCCCAGATTCTAATTGCATCATTGTGTAAAATCTATAAACTCTTGACTGGTCATTTTCCCCAGATTTTTCTCGTGCATGTTTTGTGCATTTGCACTCATATATTCATATATATATGTATCGAATTGATCTCAAGTCAATTCCTAGCATACACAAATATCAATAAATGTTATTTATCATAATATAACATGTTTATTATTATATCTCACAACATTCAAAATTACGGGGTTTTACATTTGGTTATATATTATATCAATATATTATTACTTAGGTAATAATATTATATATTATTGGCCGAGAGAGAGACGAGCACGTCGAGAGCAGAGAGAGAGAGAAAATGGGTATGCCTGGCATACCGGTGGAAGCCAAATAAATTTATGCTTGGTAGTGGATGTGTCACAACTCCCATCCACTCACGTACCCATGTGAATGTGGTCCTATATTTTGAATGAGTGAGGGGATGCGTGACAATCACTACCAAGATAACTTTTTGTGCTTGGTACAAGCATACCCGATATTGCTCATAATATATATATATATGAGAAACAATGCGGTAATGCTTGGTACCAAGCATAAATTTTGTCTTGGTAGTGATGTTCACATCCTGCATCCACTGCACATACCTCAATGTGAGTGTGGTGCCCATATTTGAATGAGTGGGAGGTGGATGTGACACAGGTGCACTACTAAAGGTGCATAACTTTTGTTTTGCTTGTACCAAGGGCATACCCAGTATTGCTCTCGTCGCTCTTCTGCAAGGTCGACTCGGTCTCTCTCTCGATCTCTAACTCTCTCTCGTCTTCTCTCTCATCTCTATTATATATATAATATATATATATCTATGATATATAATATATATATATTCATCTATATATTATAGTATATATATATATATATATATGATATATATATATATTATATATATATAATAGAGTGACCTACGTAGGTATATATATATATATTATAGCTATAGTTAATATATATATATAAATATAATGTAGTTATAATTATACTTATATGTGTATATTATAGAAGTATATATAAGTGCATAAGTATAATTATAAGTATATACTATATATTGCATCTAGTATATATAAAAGTATATCATATAAGTAAATTGTATAACTGTACTTAAATAAGCATAATGTAATTTTAATTCATTTGGGATGTATTCATCTATTGTGACGTGACGAATTTCAAAATAAATTTATAATTGTAGACGATTAATTTATTATTAATAAAGAAGTTATTTTTATCATTTTAATTTTTATGGTTTTTTATATTTGTATATAATTACAAGTAATTAATAATATAATTATTTTTATCAAAAATTTGATTAATTTTTGCTTTGTATTCTTGAAAAAAATGAAAATAAATTTAAAAAAGAAAAAATTGGGCCAGCCCAGTACCCGACCCGGTTAGGCCCGGGCCGACCCGTTTGGACAGGCTTATCTACAACCTAGTGTCCACGTTATCGGCATTGCACAATATTTAAATTTTTTGGATCCGGGCAAAATTCAAACTCCTAAGCAATGTCCCTTGAGTTCCTTTCATCTTTCATAGAGGGCATGGGATGGTGGTGGATCCCGTAGACTCATTCACAGGAGCACTCGACATTATGAATCACAACAAGTGAACAAACAAACCATTCATAGATTAAAATCAAATCTAGTTAAACTAAAGTATTAAATATACAATTAAACCAAATATTTTTCACTATATTTACTATTAAAATGTCATTTAATTCACTTAAATCACTGTCTTGTACCTTGAAATCAAGTTACTCACATACTATTAATTTAAGTTAATAGTAATTTGACGAGAGGGCTTTGACGAGGTTTCGACAACTACGATAAGAGCTCAGAGGGGGCTTCAACAGATTCAATGGCAGAGCTTGGAGGGGGCTTCGATAGCTTTGAAAGAGGACTGGGGTTTTGGTTTTTTGTTTCCGAGAGAAAATCGCAGCAGACCAAAAAGTAATGAAGGGTTGCCGAGTCGGGACTAAGAATTAGGGGTTGGATGGATTGTTTTGTTAACTGGGTTTGAATTGAAATTAGGCTTGGATTTTGGATATTTTATAATAGTATTTGGGCTTTAACATTTTGGACTGGAATGAAATGAGCCATATGATTTTTTATTTTCTTAAAAAGTTGGGCAGATCGCTTAAGCGGCCCACTTAGCTCTAGGCATGCGTTTAGGCGCGCCTAACGCCTAAGCTTTGCCACTTAGGGTATTTTGAGACGCCCTGGGCTCTGCCTCAGTCTTGACGAGTGCCTAAGCGGCCACCCAAGGTGTTTTTTGAAACACTGACTACCAATGCTTCAGGAAAATCAACCAAATACACTAATTACACTTTCAATATTAGAGATCATAAAAAATTTGATTGATTTAAAATATCAAATTACCCTATTAATATCAAAGCTTGAAGTACAAAAATTAAATAATACCTGTGATACTCGAGGTCGGTTGAGGAAGAGCTAAAAAAAATAGGATTCGGATTCGAGTAAGGATTTTATCCAAACACCCCAAAAAATGAGTGATCTATACTCTTCATGGGTGGTTAGAAGGTTAGTTTAGAAATTATAATTGTTCTATATATGTTAGAGATCAACTTATTTCTATAAGGATAGTTTTGATAGGATCCTTATTGTTCGGATTCTCTATAATTAGATAGTAATTGGAATAGAGAGTAAAAACTAGAGTAATTGGTCCGCCTCTAATTATCACCTAATTTGAAATGATCCTCAGACATGAAGAAGTCCTTTTGCATTTAGATCATGTTTCTTGGGATGATATAAAAAAGAGAGAGAAAAAGATCAAAATATACTGCACAAAATTCAACTAGCTGCATAAAATAAATAAAGAAAGTGTAGCATGTTCAGATTTAAAATAATTAAATAAATACATAATTAATTATATGTAAAAAATGTGAGAATCATATGTATCAATTTTTGTATGATGAGGTTGTCTCATATACAACATCTCTTCATATTAGTTATTTTCTTGTGACATATTTTGTATTTCTTTTCATGAATATCACAATTTATATTCTTTGCCACGTGCATTGTACACGTGCAATTTAACTAGTTGTGAGTTAGTATTTTTTTAAAATAAATTTATGAGTTAATAGTATACGTGCAGATTAATGAGCAGTGATAACTACACTATTATTCTTACACTATTTCTATATTATAAGGGAGAAAAATATAGGGTTCATTCTCTTGAATTTTTTTCAAAGTTGATGACTCATCAAGAGAGCTCACACTTCTCTCTCTTGTAGTGTAGAGACAATATAGAAGAAAATAATATAATTATCATTATTCTAAATTAATAGACCATGAATTTGTACTTACTCTTTTTTTCCCAAAACTTGTTCTAACTTTTTTTTCCCAAAACTTGTTCTAACTCTTTAATATTAATTAATGCATTGTTTGTAACCTTGTCTTGTGGTAATGCTTTTGTTAGACCCTCCAATTTTCTCTCTCATTTTTTGGTAGGAAAAATCTTGCCCACGCCCCAAAAACAAAAACCTCACGTGATTCAACTCTTGGTAGGTTGGCTCGTGTGCAAAAGGCCCAAATACGTACTTTTTTCCTTCTTTGTTTCTTTCTTTCTCTTTTTATTTTGGTGTGTGTTTCAACCTCTTATACACTGACAACTCAGGAATGAGGGATAAAATCTAAAAAACATCCCGAAAAATACCCCTTCATAATTGCTCTTTTTAATACAATCTCCCTCTCCCCCTCCAACCGGCAAGATCCGATATTTCCTCCGTCGGAGTTGTACCTGATGCAAATCCTCATTCGGATTCGAACTCGAATCCACCTCCAGCTTTGACACCATCTCTTCATTGCCTTCAGTCCTCTCCTCCCCTTTGCCACTACCGAACTCAAGTGCATTATCGCTGTTGCATTTACTATTCACGCATAGTAATACTACGATAGCATTCACTATTCATGCTACAGTAATACTGCAGTAGCATTATTACAGTAACAAAAGGAATCGATATACTATAGTATTTTTTGAAAAATAGAACTGAAACACATGGGGATACTGTAGCGGTTTTTTTATAAAAAATGTAGCAGAGCAGAACTGTAGCATCACAAATTTTGTTAAAAGCCTGTAGTATTTAAAAATCGGGATTACTGTAGCGGGAAAAAAATGATATGACATGCTTTGCATGATGTTCACGGCTAGTTGTATGTATATAACAATCCTTTGCGGCCTTCACTCTAGAGCCCAACCCACAATTCACCCAAAACATAACCCCACGTGTGCCACATCAATCGCACGTGCCACCCACACCCAAATATCCCAGCCCAAAGCAAAACAACACGAAATCCTTCGTCAAACACAGACACAGCGGAAGCACAACCCCCAAAACTGCCATCCGATCCCTCCCCAAATCCCACGGATCGATGACGTGGCACCAAAGGAATTTCAAAATCCCGCCCAAATCCCCCCACCCCCCCAAACAAAAATTTTAATTCCCTCCAAGTCCCTATTCCCCTCTTATTCTTATCCCTACCCCCTTTCTCCCCTTTCGATCCCCACATTTTCCTATTCCCATTCTGCCCCTCAAAACCCTAACCCTAATCGTAAGCGATCTCGCCCCCATTTTGCCCAAATTTTGGCCGATTCCATCGATTTTGGGCTGATTTTTAACAGATCTGCTCGATTTCTTGCAGTTTGAAGACGATGAAGGGAAGAAAGCCGAAGGCTAGCTCGTCGAAGGCCAGCGAGAGCAAGTAAGTTGACTTTTTTTTGCCTTGATCTGCCAGTATTTTTGGTTGATTTAGGGTTTAATTGAGGTTATTTTTTGGTCGGATTGAAGGTTGGCGGTTAAAAAAACGGAGAAGAAAGTGAAGAAGGGAAAAGATCCGAACAAGCCAAAGAGAGCACCAAGCGCTTTCTTCGTTTTCATGTAATCATCGATGTCGATGAGTTATTTGTTTAATTTTTTTTTAGATTTTTTGTTGATTTTTTGGGTTTTGATGATTTTAGGGAGGGTTTTAGAAAGGAGTTCAAGGAGAAGAACCCTAGGAACAAGAGCGTTGCCGCTGTAAACCCTAATTCCTTTTAAAAGAATCATCTACTTTCGATTTTTTGCCCTAATTTTCAAATTGATTAGCTTGTGACTACCGTTTTGGGGATTAGGTCGGCAAAGCTGGCGGTGAGAGGTGGAAATCGATGTCTGATTCTGTGAGTTAGTTATCAATCTATTCTCAGATCTATTCAATTTTTAAATTGATTTTCTGATGTTATTGTTTTGTTGTAATTTTAGGATAAAGCCCCATTTGTGTCGAAGGCAGAGAAGTTGAAAGCTGAGTACGAGAAGAAAATAGCTGCCTATAACAGGGGCGAAAAGGTGAAAATATTTGAAAGTTGTTAATTAATTGTTGTTTTTAGACTAAATTGCTTATTAGGGTTTTGGTGGTCATTAGGTTGATGATAATGTCGTGGAGGAAGAAGAGTCTGACAAGTCCAAGTCTGAGGTTGAGCAGGAAGAAGGAAGTGGTAGTGAGGAGGTAACGGATTTACCCTTTTAGTGTTTCAATCATATTTTTTATATTTAGTCTATTTAGTCTTTAACCTAGATATTGCTTTAAGTAATGTTTTGAGTACATGCCTAATTGTCTTCTGTTAGTCTAGTTGAAATTTATATTTTTAAGTTTTGGATTATTTTGACTCAATCTGATATTAAATGATGTTGACCAATATTTATATTTTTGCAAAGAGGAAATTTTCAAAATAGAGCCATCACAACTTTATTCCCTAGAATCATCTTATTAAAAATTTATTTACAAAAATTTACCCAGGTTTGGCCACGTGAGTAGCGCTGTTGAAACTGAGACAATTTATTAAAAAAATGCTTGTTTGTAATTAATCAGGGTCCGTTTGGCTGCTCTTGCTTAAATCATTACTGGCAACCCTGTCTAATTAGATGCTAGTTTAATTACATGAGTGAGTAGTGGGGGCTGAAATTGAAGTTCAAAATAGTCACGGTTGCCAACTTAGACTATTTAGAAGGTTAATTAATCATGTTGCTAATTAGTTGGGGTTAGCAACCTGACTAATTAGAAAGAAATCTTTTGAATTAGTTAAGATTTGAGTTGTTTTTTTTTAATATGTTTGAATTTAGTCGATATTTTTTGAATATGTTTGAATTGTGTCAATTTTGGTGAACAAAGTTATAAATGGGTCTGTTTTGAAAATTTCTCCTTCGGCAAATTTATAGTTGAAAACTCCATGTTTGAATTGTTGGACTTTTCACCATACGTACCTTTAAATCAATCATATTTATAAATAGCGCTTGCCCGAGGGGAGTTTAGTTACTTTGGGTTGAACACTGGGCTCCAACAATGGATCGTCCATCCCCCTTAGGATCTCATAGTGCCAACTAACAGAGCCACCCCCTCTGGTTATTATATTCTTGAACTTGCTCATATAATGTAGATATCTTCTAATTTACTCTCCATTTACTACATTGAGTTCAAAAACTCAAGATTTGTATTTGATTTTGCGGTTAGTTGTAACTTATGTTAAGCCTAGGGCTTTAAATAAAAAAATGTGGTATAATTTAAGGGTAAATTGATAAAAACCTAGATCTTGGGGGTTGATTTACAAATGCAATTGATTTGGTGGTATATAAGTGAAAGCCTTAATTTTTTTTCACTTAAGTTATGTTGTTTTACTTAAGCTGTTATTTTTTTTGGGGTAATTGCAGGAAGGCGATGAGGATGATGACTAGAAAGAATGGCCTAACAAAACTCCCCTTATCTTTTTCTTTCTTTTTTAGTATGGTTCACTTTTGTCATCTTAGGAAATAGGGGAGTGAACTTTACGTGAAGGAATCTTGCGGATCCAAAATCTTTGGGTTTGCAGATATTTTGGTGGGATGGACTAATTACATTCCTTGTACTTATAAGCACCACATCCTTGGTTAAAAATAGTATAAGCTTGTTTAATGCTTCTTAATTCTTCTCTTGTGTCGTTAATATGTTCTTCCTGTTGATTGATGATTGTGACCTGGATCATGTGGGCGTGCTGATTTGACTTTGTTTGCGTTTGTCTGTGGTCTCTGAACATTTTAAACTTTGAATACGATTGTGTTACTGAAAATGATTGGTTTGTTATTTCGAATTTGCATGGAAGTGGGGCTCTTAAAAGTTATTTCTTGTCTTTTTTCCTTCTTCGGTCAGCTAATTGGCTATTCGCGCCTCAATTGGCTTTAACCCTCGTAGAACTTGTCCGATTAAAAAGTCAATTGGGTGGGGTTGATGATATTGCTTCCGGTTGTCAGTTAGTTTGTCTGTCTTTTTTTTTTCTTTTCTAGTTATGCATCAATTTTGTTTTCTCCCTGAAATTTAGTTTATCTGAGCACTTTCTGTTATTTCTTTCTTTTTTTCCCCCTAGAAAAAGTTAATACTTTTGCTGCTGATTTTTGTTGGAACTTTGATTGGCGTAAGATTATCTGAAGTTTTTAGAACAATTATGTATTACTTGGGACCACCTCGAAGCCCTCTATGGCGAACCTCAGACATTTGGTAATCTATGACATGATTACTTGCCATTCGATTGTCAAAAGCAACAACGCACTTTACGTAAGCTGCTCGATGAGTACAAATCAATGAGGGCAACCAACCCGTGTTGGAATTGTAGAACGTGCATCCACGAAGAAATGTGATTTGCAGAAAGTTTTAGCTACATTATATTTGAAGCAACTAGTAAGTACCATAAGGGAGATTAAGTTCTAAATGCGACGCCGAAAGAGAATCAAATTGTCTTTTCCCTCAACTTTAAAATCACCATGCAGTGATCTTTTCCCTTCATGAAGCATTTGAATTGATATTGGCGAATTCGGAGGGAGAGGTTCCTGTTCTTCCTAGCAGTTTCAATCCTTTTTATATTGTTGGGTTGCAGTCGCATAGCCATGGATTTGAACTTGAGGGGCGCTCTTGTTCACTCTCTTTAAATAAATAAATAGTAATAAAGAAAACTAATTACATCGATAATCACATCTAATAATACTAAGATTTTTTTACGGGAAGTATAGGATTTCGAACTTGAAATCTCCAACCAAAATGTTAAGGTGAGACCTCAATTAAGCACACTTCTTTAGTCACTAATCATCACAACCAAAAATTGTAGTATGACTGTACCAAATACAACTAAGCATCAATAGGTCTGTGTGTGAACAAATGAGTATCCAATCCAAACGATTAACCATCCACATATAGAATCGTAGCCTTATGCGAAAATTTAAACGATCAAAAAATAAATGCCATAGAATTTGAGTTTAAGGAACTTCATCTATACGATGCAACCGAGTGAGAGAGAGCACTCGATCGATGCCCCAACACCAAGGATGAATCTCCTCTTTGCTCTTGTGAAATTTTGATTCACCAAAACAAACTCTGCAATTTTGCTTAAAAGCTTTTATAAACACACTAAACCAAACTAAAACGCCTTGTTAAAAACTTTATTACTTGATTAAAACTCTCTAGTTAGCGTTGGGAGGCATAAGATTTACTGATCTCAACTCAGTCGCAACCAAACCCCCAAGCAGAATGACAAAAAACCCCGCAATCGGTTCATAAAACTAGCCGTTAGGAAGCTGAGAGGAATACGACGTCGTCCGACCGGCAAATTCGTCGGTCGACCGAAATGTTTCTATCGGGTCGGCCACGCCCGGACCGGTCGCCGACGGGGTCCTCTGTCGCCACAGCAAAAACTTATTGAAAGCTCAGATTCGCTCGACGGTGGGCGGTAGACCGAGAAACATACATGACAGGTTCTGAAAAACATGTTATCCTTGATTTTCAAAACACGTGTTAAAATCATCAATATAAATTCAGCAAAAAATATAAGAAACTTTGGGGAATTGATTGTATGGACATGATTAATGACAACATGTTTACAAAAATTGGTTTTCTAAAGTAACTCTCCCAAATATGAGAAATATCATGCATCTTTTGCAAAATAGTCCAAAACATGAAATGTAAAGCATATGAAATCTTGACATTTTAGCTTAACGGCATGTTTGAAACATTACAAAATGATTTTGTAGACTTAATAACAGATGTTACCCTGATTATTGTTTAACGCTCTATAACGCAAGAAAGACAATATTTCATAATGATCTAATTAGAAGGTAATAACCGTATGAGTATGTATATGAAAAATATATTTTGTTTTTATATCTATGAAATAATCTCAACAACGTTATCGCACGATAGAAAACGAAGCATTGTATACATAATTTTTTATGGAATTTATTTGTATAAACTTTTGTTTGTGGATAAAACTATACCCCAAGAATGTATATGATATAATAACTATAATATATATATAATACTAAGAAAACTAATAAATGTGTGTGTGGAATATATAGTTGAGACTTCAGAGTATATAAGCACACATAATATAAAACCGCTAAACTAAATTACTCCAAGCTAGGATCTTGATCTATCAATAAGCCTCTTTCTAGGTAATCTCATCGGATGAAAGCTTGAAGCTTGATCTTTTAACTTTGATTGGCATAAGCTCAGCCGACATTTTTCCGGTGAACGACTCCAGTTGGATTTCATCGTTGAAGCTCTATTCCTCCATCCTCGCATCGACGGTTGTTTGTTCTACCTAAAACATAGGAATGCACAAACACTAGACACAGAAAAAAAAAAAAAAAAAAATGCAACATTAGTAATAAATTGTTTTGTTAAACATCATCAAAACAAGAAGGCACAAATCTCCCCTTTTGATGATGACAAACTCATTTACACTAAACGAATATATATTGTCATGAAGGAAATGAACATATACAAGCTGAATACACATGCATAATAAATGTAACTCATAATATTTCTCCCCTTTGCAAAATCAAAAAGGGGACAAATGAATTAAGAGATGCGAAAGGCTCTCCCGCTAATCAATAAGCATAGGTGAGTATGAAAACATAAAAAGGATATAGGATTGGCTCCCCCTATCAAATGCCTATATAGAAAATGTGCAATAAATAATAGATTATGGCTAAGCATGTGAGCAAGCATAAATGAAAAGATATGGGCTAAACAGCCACTCACAAGGAAAAAGGATACAATGAGGAACACATAATGATAATGACATTATAAAAGATAGTGTGCTCATTTATAAAAACCATCGTATTAATAATAGATTTATGAAATCAAAGAGAGGAACATGAGAATCATGCAAAAAGTTTTCAAACATTGACAAAACATCAGACCAAAGTAATTCCATCAATCAAAGTTTTATTCAACAATATCAATGTGTTTGATAGCAATAAAGAAAAATTTCCTTTAGCATAACTTGATCAAAGCCACTCATAGAATAGCATTATAAAGTCACAAATAGATTGATCATCTACACAAACAATATATCATCATATAAGTGAATTAATAATTGAATTCAAAAGGACAGATCAAATCAAACACAATTCTTTTTGAGAGGGCAACATATAATCTAAGCTCTAAGCTTTGTTTACTCACCCATATAATCATTCGCATTGCTATGCCGGTAACATGATTTGGGAATAAAACAACTTACAATAAAACCGAAGGGTTATATAAATGCAAATCCAATGCTCATAAGCATAAACCAGGATGATCATGAAACAAAAAAAAAGATTTAGCCAATAAAAGAAATTGTTTCATAAAAGTTTAAAAATGACATTTTTCAAACCATAGAAAAAGAAAATTAAAAATATACTAAATCTTGGTTTAAATCAAATTTGTTTTGGTACCACTCAGTATTGCCTTGTACCAAAAGATTTAGGGAACATGAACCCCTATCATTCAAGCTCAAAGCCCTAGGGTTATGAACCGCATTTGGGCGCATATGGTGCAGCTAGCACCAGGTCAAAACAAGTTATAGACACTATGACTTTATTCAAGATTGGCAATAGGTGCGCATGAAGAGGAGTTAAAGCATTTGTATTCGACAATGTGGAGGCCGTGGCACGAAGAATCATATTGGCAAATAAAGATTTTTCTTTTATTTATTTTCGCAAATGAGAACACCTCAGTCAACAAATGTGGTTTACTTGAGAAATTTGGCAGTATTGAATATTTTTGTCAAATATATAGCAAACTTCGCCAATGGCCAATATCTCACCAAACATCAAACCATTTGAGAGCATCGTGTACTAGCTTAAAATAGAAATAGTTGGGCACTGTAGAAATTCTTTTTCCAGACTACAAGGCAAAACCTCCTCTGCCAAATGAGCCAAACACCACTTATATTGAACACATTGTTATAGACCATTAGCATTGCTTATGATGAGAAATAGATGCATGTGCATGTGTGTGGTGCAATATATGTGATGTATGAGCTTGATGAGATGCACAAGGAGTGATATTAAAGTGATCTGGTGGGTATGTGGCATCTAGCAAAATCTATGCAAAGATGGGCCTTTTCTACGATGCGCGAATCTTGTGCATTTGTAGACTTTGCGTATACATGTGTGCATGATGAATAGGATGTTTGAGATGTGTTTGCCATACCATATGCAGCACATCGTTCATAAGCTTATATTGAATTAACAATACATGTTTAAGGGTTGAATCTAAAGATGAATATGTGATACTTAACATGAATTCCACTCATGCATATGGCAATATCAAGTATTGGTTATTAGAAGTAGAAAACTTAATTGTTATAATTAATAAAAAGAAGCGGTATCATTTATGCTATGTCTCTATACTTCTAACATAGGCATGCCCTAAATTATTAACATGAGATATATGGACTATGTGATGGAGCAGGCTTAATTTTTTATTTTTCTAATCTTTAAGCATTCATTTGGTTCCTTTAAAGCAGCAATATTTTCTTTTACAAATGATATCAAATTTTGGAGGACACTAGCTTCTGCATGATCAGGATTTTAATTCTACATGTTCTGTAGCTTTTAAGATGATGCAATAATACATTATTTTGTATTTTGTATAGGCGCAAGATTCATGAGAGCAATACAAAAAATTGG